TTTTCAGACTCATGATAGACTCCATTCCTAGCTTTAATGCTCTATAATCTCAGGGTGTTATACAGGCGTTAGTTTCAGGGCATATCGGCTTCTCAAAACTTCAGTGTATATTGAAGCTACATCAAAGCTCACAAGCAAATCTACCAAATAACTGAATTCGCAATAATTAATTATTAATTACAATTAACCCAAGGTCTTTTTCGCATCATTCAATTTTTTGTGAATTAAAGCTTATCTTTATACATATGTTTGTAGATAAGATTATTTATATGTATGAATATAAGTATGACTATTTATGCATATACTTTTCTATAAATGTAGACATACTTTTGTATATATATATATATATATGTATGTATGTGCGTATTTATTTAGACAAGTAGCTTTGTTGACAGAGTTGTATGAAGGTATGTGTTTTGTTTGCATGCATGTATGAATGTGTATGCAGCCATGTTTATATGAGGAATTACTTATTTATGTATTCAAGTATATATTTTCATGAGAGTTTATAGGCAGGCATGTATGCATGTCTGCATATAGATAGGCATGTGTATATATGAACATATGTAAAGCTAATCTTCCATGCATGTGTTTATGTGTATGCGTATTTTGTGTAGAAGTAAGGTGTAACTAGGAGAGAGCTTCGTAGGTCATCCGCAATACTCTTTCATACGTAAGAAATTAGGCTTTGTGGGTCTGGCAATCTAATACCCTACGCCAGGGACGGCAGAACGCCTGTCTTGGCAACCAGGAAAGTAAAGCTCCTAGGCAGCAACTCCTCCATGTCGCTTTTTGCGTACACCTGGTTAGCGTTACTTCAAAGGGCTGTGTACCACTTGTATGCCCTGCCTTAGAGTCAACTGATTGCAAGTTTCATGCCTCGACTTCTATCTCATTTATAGGTTGCCTGCTCAATCCATGACACTCGAATCGACAAGAACGTGCTTTCACTTCCGCAAAAAGTGATCTTTGCTCCTGGACTGATTGCCAATTTCGGATTTCTGACTTTTGCTTGCTTTTACTCTCTTCACTATGAAAACAGTGGGCATATTTACTGTGTGCACAGTGTGCACTTTCTGCCCTCCACAGCCCACTCACTCGGTGTCTCCAACTTCTGTATGATGATTTAGTCTGAATGCCCCTGATTTACTCCCTTTGGGTTCAGTTGGCTACCGTCATGCGTGCGCAACTGGTTGGCTCAAATGGTCTGGCCTGTACGATGCGGGTAGGCATTTCCCACTTCTCCTTGTTGCCTCATTGCCCAAGCCCGCAGCGCCTGCCCTTGGGCCACACTCTACACTTGGTCGTTGTAACCTCCACTTGTAAACTCCTCATTCACGGGAGCACAGTCAGCCTGTTTGCTTCCACCTCACCTTCTGTACTACCCCGAAGGTTGGCCGCCTGACGGAGCGCAGACCAGCAGCTGATGCAGTTTGGATATGCCCAACTGCATACTCCGGAAGAGAGTGTACACTTTTGTGGTGCTAATCGGTGTCACTCTTCTCGTCTGCTTCGTCGTCTATCGCAACCACCATGGCCACGACACCATCAGCACGAGGCACTTTGACATTCGCCGAACCAGCCGACGGCTGATCCACTTTCGACACAGAATCACTCGCAACCACAAGGTGAGACGTATCTTACAAAAATTACTGTTATTCTCCTTCCTCCTTCACATAATTCTCTTTTGACCAGAGTCAAATATTCCAACGTAAGCAATACTTATAATTAGTATAAATGACATCGTTTTCGATTAAAAAACCGTATTCCACACCAAATTGGAGGTGGAGTTAAAAGTGCTCTTGTTTAGGGCGTTAAAAATATTAATTGGGAGCCTCGAAGAAGATTCATAGTCGAACTGGCCGACAAGAAACCCAAATGGAGCAAGGCCTCAAATCTCTTCTGTCTCTTTCTACATGGTCCTTTTAACCTACTCCTTCCCGAATAAGACTGGACTGTACTTTTAGTAACTATGCCCTTATATCTTGAATACAAACTAGAGATATCAAATAGAAGTTGTTTGACCTTTGTTTCGCAACTTGGTCATATTGGTAGGAAGACTTAAAGAAACGCACCTAGTCCGGAGTCCATTGTATGCAT